TGCCCCATCCCTGGCACCATCCCAGGTGAGGTTGGCCAGGGCTCTGAGCACCCTGCTCTAGCTGCAGATGTCCCTGCTCCCTGCAGGGGATTTTGACTAGACTGACCTTAGGAGGTCCCTTCCAACCCAAATGATTCTGTGATTCCTACCAAGGATGAGCTGCAAGCCATTAATTTTATCTCCAGGCCTTTGAAATCATGGTCAGCTGATACCTGCCACAGTTTGCTCTTTATAACTGCTACAGAAATAGGTATTTTCCCCCAATTTTCCATTTTTTTTAAGCAAATTGCTTCCTTTCAGGCACTCCTAGCTGCAAACAGCAACTTCAAATTTGTCAGACAGCTCTGAATTTCCCACCCAGGCAGATGCATGTGTGCTCACACTCAGTCACTGCTTGGAAAACAGTCCACCAAGGAAGAACCACTCATCCAGGAGTCCCAGGGTCCACTCAAGGATGGCAGCAGACAGTTCCATGCTACCAAGAGAAGATGGATGATCTGAAAATGATGCATTTAAGTGCACAGATGCTTCTGGCACCGAGCATCTGGGCAATGTCTTTTTCCTTCCAACACCTGGCAACTCAAAATCTTCAGCTTTGGTCCTGAATGTCTAACATCAGGAGTAACACTAAGGAAAGGCAGTACCCTTGGGTTTTTATTTCTTGTTCCAGATGTGGATGTCCACATATATTTGGGTTTTGCTGTTTTACTAAGCAGAAAATATCTGAAATATTTGGGTTTTACTTGGTTCCTCCTCATGAAAATGGATCAGGGAGAGCACCATCAGACACCCACCGACAGGAGTCCTGGCGTTTGTTCCTGAGCCACCACGTACTCTCCAACGTGACCTCCACAAAGCTGCTTAATCTGCCTCAGCCTCATGGTTAAAAAGGGAACGAGTGATGGTGACCTCCCACGAGAGTGCTGTGAGAATCAGCACGGGCCTTTCCCTCAGCATCTTGGTGCTTTTGGGTGCCAAAGCTGCCAGAATAAGCAAAGTGCTTATAATAAGCAAGGTAGCCCAGAAGCGGCCGCTTTAAACAAAACAACAGTCAAGGACAGCAGTGAGAAGGAGGGAAAAACAATCAAGAGCTCACAGACAAGGAAGGGCAGAGGCATCTGGGGCAATTAAACCCCAGCCAGGCCCCTTCTGCCCTGAATCTCCTTTATGATGGAGAGGCTCTGCAGAGGAAGACACCTCAGCACCTCATGCCCAGCACATACCCTTGCATTTAAGCTCCTCGCAGCCCACCAAGGGAGGCTGCAGGGGTGTTTTCACTAGAAGCTGCTTTTCAGGATCTGGTAGTGGTGTGGTTTTTTTTTTTTTTTGTGTTAATTTGTTTTTAAACAGGGCCTGTGAGAAGAGATTTCCACCCAAGCTAAGCCCACGGTGTCAGGGGGACACGTCTTTGCAAACCTTGGTGGGCAGCCCGTGGAACGTTCAGGTCACCTGAACAAAGAGGTCACAAGGGCCCCAAGGATGTGCAGGATCCACAGATGGCCTGTGAAGCCCATGCCCAAACCCCTCTGCTGCTTCTAACACCCGACCTTGCGAGGCCACCCCTGGCTCAGCAGCATCTCTCCTGCAGCTGCAATGACAGCACACATCAAAGAGCAGCACAGGCTTGTGCACAATGCACGGCACGAGCCCAGCAAACTTGTCCTTGGCCTGCTTACAGCAACGTTTGAAGGGAAAAGGCAACACAAACTATGGCAGAGGGACTTGGGGGTGGCTTAGCATCCAGAAATGTCTCAGGGAAAGCATTTAAGATGTCCTCCAAGGTCTCCAAGCCACTGTGGCTGAACCTGCAGCAGTCTCCTCTGCTCTCAGCAATTTCTTCACGGAGTCACCCTGATGGGTTCTCTACGTTTTGCTGCTATTCAGCACCTAGTGCCTCACTCCTCCCTTTTCAGGCATCCAGAGCACTGCAACCATTAACTCCTGCAGTGCAAACCACACACCCCTCAGAAACCAATGCCTTAAACTGGAGATACTTTTGGAAGGGAGAGGGAAGGGGCTGGGAGATTACACAGGAAGGGAAGACAGGAATAAGGAGAATAAAAAAATCAGGTAAAAATCAAAACTGCCAAAAGGAGAAGTGCAGCTGCACCACTCCAGGTCTAGAGCAAGCCCAGGCTGCAGGATGGGGCCGGGACAAACTCTCACCTCAAGAAAATAAAAAACAAAAGTCAAAAATTCTTGGACGCTATTAATGAATTTTGGTCATTGAGTGTCTCGATCTCAAAGAAAAGTCCCAGCCCTGATCATGGAATCTCTGAATGGTGGGACTGGAAGGGACCTCTGGGACTCATTTAGTCCTGTGTCCTGGAGCCCTGTGTCCAGTTCTGGGCTCCCCAGTTCCAGAGAGACCAGGAGCTACTGGAGAGAGTCCAGTGGAGGCTCTGAAGCTGCTGAGGGGCTGGAGCATCTCTGTGCCAGGACAGGCTGAGAGCCCTGGGGCTGTGCAGCTGCAGAAGAGAAGCCTCAGAGGGGATCTGATCAGTGCTGAGCAAGAGCTAAAGGGCCCCGGGGGGCAAGAGGCTGGGGCCAGACTCTGGTCAGTGGTGCCAGTGACAGGACAAGGGGCAACGGGCACCAACTGGAACCCAGGAGGTGCCACCTGAGCAGGAGGAGAAACTTCTTTGGGGTGAGGGTGGCCGAGCCTGGAGCAGCTGCCCAGAGAGGCTGTGGAGTCTCCTGCTCTGGAGAGATCCCAAACCCACCTGGCTGTGACCCTGGGCACCCTGCTGTGGGTGAGCTGCTGGAGCAGGGGGTTGGATGAGATGATCTCCAGAGGTCCCTCCAACCCCCCCATGCTGCAGTTGTGTGATACTGTAATTCTTAAACACCCAGCCTTTAAAAATACCTGGCAATTAGCACAGGCAGGAGCCCCAGGCAGCAGCCAGTTGGTTGGAAAGCCACCAGCACAGCACCCTGGGCAGGACAGCAGTGGTCTCCAGAGCCCCTGGTGAGCGTGGAGAGGGCAAGGTCAGGCAGGAGGGGGCTGGGGG